CGTCTTATTGAAATGATCCGAATGATATAAAAATTAATTTATTTAGTATCTAAACAATCTAGCAATATTCGAAGCCATAATAAAATAAATGATTTCTTTACAGCAGAGCCCATTCTAGGAGAAGCAACTTAAAAAACCATTGCCATTGTCGAAAAGACTAATTACAATACCAAAATTTGTTGAAAAAAAACCACACATCATGTACTGTACAAAAAATGTGGATATTTATTGCGTATCCAGTGCAAAATTGTTACCTATTAATTGTTTCTCATTATTTGCGTATAAAATAAATAATGATATGCGGATATGAACTTTTTACTTTTTTTGCGCACATTTAAAACTGACGGTGAAATTACAAATGGCTCGTTATTCCAAAATACATAAATCGAGAATGATGCGAAAATCGTATAAAAGAATTTATACTCAATCTGATAAAGGATTATTTGTGGTACTTATGCTGAAGACCGGGTTACGCTGAAATTTACTTTTTTTTTTTAGAGTTCATGGTTAATATTGCTAATAAAAGAGAATAAGTAAATTTCAGCAGATATATACCATAGATTTAAAAGGGGCCTCAAATTTCAACATAAGTCGATTTCAGCATGAGCCGCCATGACAATTTGACTAAGAACAAATATGTCTTAAAATGAATGATTTCATTTATGCCAACTTTTTTCCATATACCCTCATGCTATTCCAATAGGTTTGAAAGAAGTTGACCTCCTCTTTAATTTTTAAAAGCTTTCTATCATACTCATCTTCATTAACCTTCATATAAGGTGCCAAATAAATTTTAATCTGTTCCAAAACCATTAACAAATTTTTTAAAGTCATTTAACCAATAGGATTATCCCAATTACCAATTGGGTAAACTTGCTTTTCAGTAGTTATAGAGGTTAGGTGAGAATTGGAATGGAGTAAAGGTTCTAGACCTTCTGTTATGAGAGGATTATTTCCTATTGATTTATAGTATGACCGAACTACATTGATTGAAGTGGATATAAGAAATTCGAATATTCGAATATAAATAAGCAATCGCATAATTTTAAAAATTTATTCATAATAAGCATATATATTTGAATTCTGCTTATTAAAAAATTGGATATTTCATTTTTATAAAATTTGATATGGAAAATTAATTACCTGAAGACATAAATTCTTGTGTTTCTATTCCTTCGTTACAACCTCGAACATCAACATCCATAATTTCCAAATATCCATCAATTTTTAAAATTCTTGTCAATTCATTTATTATATCTTTAAATTTATTATTAGGTATTTCAGAAGCCATAAATCGCACATATATAAAATCAAATGTTTCATCCTCGAATGGAAGTTTGGATAAAATGTCACAGTATTGAAGTGAAACGCTTGATGGTACCGATAGAGTTAGGTTACGAAGTACTGAAGAGGGTCTTTCGACTCCAAAAAATGTTGACTTTGGATACTGTGATGATAAATCTATGAGCCAGGTAGCTGTTCCACAACTTTTATTTCAAATTTTTAAAAAATAATTTTTTTTTTAAACAAGTAAATACGAATGTTTTAAAATATTTAAAATATTTAAAATGCTAAAGATATATTTAATTTATAAGCTTATATATTTAATTTACCCAAAATCTAAAACCATTGCACCAGTTTCTAATTTTTCGTTAACTGGAGCCGAAAAGTTACTTTGCCATATGTATTTAAATATATGATGTTGTAAAGCCAATCTGTCCCCTCCGTAATCTTTAACGGGTATTTTTCATCATCAATTATTGTTGTTGAAATTGTATTAACCACATTATCTTTTGAAATGACAATTTTCACATCTCTTGTGCTTATGTTTTTAGAAGTATTACAACCCATGTTGTTTTAGCTGAAATGTTAATGAAAAGTTTAGAGAATATTCTTGTTATGGTTTTTTTAAGATGATGTAGGAAAAAACAAATCCGCGAAATTTTCTATCTAACTATATAGTCACGAACAAATATTGTGCTACTGTTACTATTTTATCGCATATCTTTATCATCATCTATATTTTGTTTCACAATCCTCATTCCATTGTTTCTTTAACATTTGAGTCTTTTATACATATGCATACATATTTAATCTACCTTTCACAATGAAAAATCTTAAGATACAAAATTGCTTAATTAAATTCACATCTTGGTTACAATAAATATTCGTGTAAGATTGGAAATCTTTGTAGATAAAATCTAGATTTTTATTTGGAATTACCATTTCTGAAAGCATCTCAAAAATGTGTGTACATTATTATTCATTATTATTACAGTAGTGCTCCGGAAAATCATGTGATACCCAGAATTACCATTCAGAATACAAAATAAAGTTATTAACAAAGCAATACCTTTTAACATATCGATATTACAAAGTAATATCTTTTTTAGTTAGCATTTAATTTAACTCTTCGATATTTTGTTTTTTTAGAAGCTATTCTCTTTGTGTACACCTAGTGTTCTAAACGGGGTAATATTGGACCGGATCAGTGTTCAACCTCATAGGCAGACTTTCGTATGATTGGCTGTTTAATCAATTTAAATTTTACATTATTTATACAGTTTAAAGTACTTTTTAAAAAATAGAAAACTACGAAGAATAAACAAAAAAGAAGTATATAGGAAGTTTATTAGAGCTGCAGGACTCTACTATTAAAAATAATCAAAATTCTTTTTTGTTTTAGAGAAGTTAGCATAATAGCGACCTCTTGAAGATAGATAAAATTAGGTTATCACCATGCTAACTTCTCTAAAACAAAAAATAATTTTGATTATTTTTAATA